AAATAAAATAAATAAAATAAAGCCAATGGAATCAGTAGTGCCTGCATTTTCATCTGGCATAAACGATGACGTTCGCATTAAAAACTTCTTTGGAAAATTACAAGAATATGTAAGAATTCATACAATTACAAGTTGAATGATCTTGTTTAAATTTTTTTTATTAGATTTCAGAAGCTACTCTGAAAACAGAAGCGAAGATTCGTCGTTTGACTATGGAATTGAATCAACATCGTGAGAAAACAGAAAAAGATTTTAAAACAATTGCTGTAATAGACATAAACTCTAATTCTGAATGCATAAAAAATTAAAATAAAGTTGAATTCTGATAAGTCAAATAAAAAAATTTGAGTAGATAATTTAATTTCAAAGCATTGAATCATCTTCTTGAGCAAAAATTTGGCATTTAAGTAAGAAAGTTCTTAAATGACCTTTTCTGCAATTATTAAATCATTTTGGACCAAATTATTCCTTTTGATGGTTGTCAATTTATTTCAGTAAACTATTATTATCCTACTTTTTATAGGTAAATAATTTCTTATTACTTAAGATCTAGAGCCCTAAAATAATAAGCAATATTAGAGGTTTCTCTTAGTTTAGTTTCATTCAAAAAGTTTGAGAAATTCAGATGAAGCTTACAGTCGAAAGCAAGTAGCGCATGTGAGTATAAAACACAATCTACGTTGGTTTTTACTTATGGTTGACCATCATAATTTTTCGAATGCTTTGAATCTATTTTCACAATGTGAGGAAATATATTTGTCCAAGTAGAAACGTTATTCAGTTGATAACGAACTGCGCAACAAGAAGGTTCATAGTGTTATTGAAAGGAAGTGAAGAAAAATTTTAAGCACACATTGAGATTATTAATTTTGTGAATACTTAAAATTATGAAAAACAGAGAAAGAAAATTTATTAATAATGAAATGAAAATGAGTTAAAAAACTAAAAACTGAATAAAAAAATTGAATTTGCTTATACTTTGAAATTTACATAACAAGTTTTATGATAATGGATAATATGTTTTTCATGCATTAAAGAACAATTCTCAAGAATTCTTGAAACATTCAGATTGCTTGGAGGTGTTTAGATTATGTTGAATTTGATACAGATTTACACCTTCTTCATAAGCACCAAAAACTTAGTTCAAAATGTATGCGGAACACTTTTGAGAAGTTCAACAAAGTTCATGGTGTGAAAAATGCAACAATTTTCAAACAATTTCTTAACTTATTTATTCCTGTAGCTATTATTAATGCTTCAGTAATCATCAGTGAAGTAAATGATTTAATTGTGATAATAAATTAAATCATTTTCAACATAATAATTTTTGGAATAATTCGAACCAAAAAGCTCTTCACAATTTTAATTAGGCAATGTAAGTAATAAAACTTTTTTTCAAAGTCTTGTTTTTC